GCCAGCCTGTAATCCCAGCTATTTGGGAAACTGAGGCAGGAGAATCGCTGGAACCCAGGGGGCAGAGGTTACAGTGAGCTGATATCGCACCACTGCACTCCAGCCTGGGCAACAGAGCGAGACACTCCGTGAAAAGAAGAGATAAAGAAATGACAGCATGAGAGCGGTTGAGCACGCAGAGGGCAACTTAGCTGGCCGAGGGTGGAGGGAAAGACGCCGGGTCCTGAGGGCGCTGGGCTTGGTCCCCAAGGACCATCGCCTGCCTGGAGGTGGGGTGCTGTCTCCTTAAGTAAAAGTTCCCAGTCTGTTTTGCCAGAGCCCCAGAGGGAATTGAAGCTGGGCGAGGAAAAGCTCCCTCTCAACTGTAGAGTCGATGGAATTAGGGATGGAGCCACCTCCTCTGGGGACGAGTCCCTTGGGAAAGAGGGGGGAGCTGGGAGGAATCCAGAGAAAAGGGGGCCTGGGGCAGAGAGGACACAGAAACATTACAAGGCCAAGAAAGAGGGACGTGAGAAAGGGATGGAAAGATTTAGGGGGAGGCAGGAGGGATGGGTTGGGAAGCTCCAAGAGAGAGTCCCGGAGTAAGAGACAAAAATAGATTTGGGGAGACAGAGAGACAAAAAGAGTAGTGGGCCAGGTCCGGTGGCTCATACCTATAATTCCAGCACTTTGGGAGGCTGAGGCAGGAGGATCTCTTGAGGCCAGGGGTTTGAGACCAGCCTGAGCAACATAGCAAGACCCCATCTCTACAAAAAAATAAAAAATTAGCCAGGTATGGTGGCACACAGCTGCAGTCCTCAGCACAGGCAAAAGGATCACTTGAGGCCAGCAGCTCAAGACCAGCCTGGGCAACATAGTGAGACCCCATCTCTACAAAAAAATAAAAAATTACCCGGGCATAGTGGCAAACACCTGTGGTCCCCGCACTTTGGGTGACCAAGGCAGGAGGTTCACTTGAGGCCAGCAGTTCAAGACCAGCCTGGGCAATGTAGCAAGACCACATCTCTACATAATTTTTTCTTAAGAGAAATACAGAGAAAGAAGAACTGGGGTTCAGAGAGATCATTGCAGTCGGAAAGGGACAGAGGAAATGCAAGCAGCAGCCTAGAAGCACAGAGGAGGGTAGCGGGAGGTCAGCACGGGTGACTGGCTGGCGACCTCACCTCTCTGAGCCTTTCTTGTGCATCGAATGGGAATCAATTGCACTTTGGCCACGGCAGGCTGCTGTGAGGTGTGTCAGTGTCATCTTACAGCCATGTGGGGTGATGGGAGCACTGCACTCACACACCACCCAGGGCCTCCTAACATTGCCTCCTCAAATCTCAGGCACGCAACTCCACTCTCTGCTCTCAGTCGGCTCAGCCACAAAGTGGACAGAGTGGGATCTGTCGCCATGGGAAATTGTTGGGATGCTACAGAAGCCTCCTGCCTGGTAGGTAACCAAGCAGCCTCCCCCAAGCAAAAGAGCTCATGGGCCACGTTAAGGCGCTCAGATTCCATGGTTTATTGAATTCGTTTAAAACAAACACAAGGTTATTGTTTGTTTTTCAACTGTGTGGTGGTAGGAAGTACTCCTGACGGTTTTCCCATGGCAATAATTTACTCTCTGATTTCACCCACCGCTACTATGACAGCTTTCTCTCACTGATTCACCAAAAAATTGGGCTTTTCTTTTGTCATTTTTTTTTTTTTTTTTTTTTTGATGGAGTGCAGTGGCAAAATCATAGCTCACTACCTCAAACTCCTGGGCTCAAGTGGTCCTCCTGCCTCAACTTGCTCTGCAGCTGGAATCACAGGTACGTGCCATCACATCCAGCTAAATTTTTATTTTTATTTTTTGTAGAGACGAGGTCTCAAACTCCTAACCTCAAACAATCCTCCTGCACAAAATGTTAGGTATGAGGCACCATACCTAGCCTAAAAAAAAATTGTTTTTTAATTTTTTTTGAGACAGGGTCTCACTCTGTCACCCAGGCTGGAGTTCAGTGGCGAGATCTCGGCTCACCGCAACCTCCACTTCCCAGTCTCAAGCGATTCTCCAGCCTCAGCCTCCTGAGTAGCTGGGTCTACAGGCATGAGCCACCAACTCCTGGCTAATTTTTGTGGTTTTTGTTGAGACGGGATTTCGCCATGTTGCCCAGGCTGGTCTTAAAACTCTTGAGCTCAAAATGATCTGCTTGCCTTGGCATCCCAAAGTGCTGGTATTACAGGCGTGAGCCACTGTGCCCGGCCTAATTTTTGTATTTTTAGTAGAGATGGGGTTTCACCATGTTGGTTAGTCTGCTCTTAAACTCCCGATCTCAGGTGATCCACTCGCCTCAGCCTCCAAAAGTGCTGGGATTACAGGTGTGAGCCACTGTGCCTGGCCAATAATTTGGTGTTGAGGTCTCTCTCATGAGCATGGCCATAGACTCTGGCTTTGCCCTGCCTGGGCTCCAGGGGATTAGATCATAAGTGTTTACAATGTGCTTTTCAGCAGATTTTCGTTTATCCTGGCAGGCAGCCCAATGTCTAAGTGTCTGACTTGTACACAGGTGTGCCTGTCACAGGAAATGTGTTTATACTGGCCAAGATCCTTGGGGCTCTTATCTGACCTGTGTCCAGTTTATTCCTGACCAGGAAAGAGATTAGGTTCAGGTGTGTCAGTCAAGTGAGACAAAAGGAGGCAACTCAACAAAACACATGAAATACCAGAAGGAGGCAGGGTGCAGTGGATCACGCCTATAATCCTAGCTCTTCAGGAGGCCAAGGCAGGAGGATCACTTGAGGTCAGGAGTTTGAGGCCAGCCTGCCCAACGTGGTGAAATCCTGTCTCTACTAAAAATATAAAAATTAGCCGGGCATGGTGGTGTGCACCTGTAGTTCCAGCTACTCAGGAGGCTGAGACAGGAGAACACTTGAACCCAGGAGGTGGAAGTTGCAGTGAGCCAAGATCACGTCACTGCACTCCAGCCTGGGTGACAGACGGAGACTCTGTCTCAAAAAAATAAAAGAAGAAATAACAGAAGCAGAGGCCGGGCATGGTGGCTCACACCTGTAATCCTGGCACTCTGGTAGGCCGAGGCAGGAGAATCAGTTGAACTCAGGAGTTCAAGACCAGCCTGTGCAACATAGCGAGACCCTGTCTCTATTTAAAAATAAAAAGAAGAAGAAGGAAAGATATAACAGAAGCAGTTTATTACTTATGGATCCCAGAGAGAAAAGAGCAGCACACTTCCCTGGACCAGTGGGAAGCGGGCAGCTGCCTGAGACACGCAGCCTCAACCAGCAGGTGGAGAGAGATCCCCCAAAGCCTTTATTGGGGTCCAGGGCATGGCAGAGACGGAGTTCCCCAGGAGAGTTCTAACTGATGGGTTTAGAACAAAAGTTCCATAGAGACACGCTGTGACGGAGGTTGTCATATCTGCACAATCCATTCATCGGAGGTGTGGGGATCAGTAGCGTGGCTCAAGTAGTTTGCATCTATCTAGCTGTCCCATACAGAGATGGTCACCAGGAGGAAGTTAGATAAAGCTGATAACCTTGATCAACTCCAGTAAGAAACTGGGAGGAGAGCTGGGCATGATGGCTCACACCTGTAAACCCAGGGCTTTGAGAGGCTAAGGCAGGAGGATTGCTTGAGGCCAGGATTTTGAGACCAGCATGGACAACATAATGAGACCCTGTCTCTAAAAAAGAAAGAGAGAGAGAGAGAAGAAAGGGAGGTAGGGAGGGAGGGAGGAAGGACTGGGAGGAGGTGTAGAGCTGGAAACTGTGTCAAGGGTAACTAAGCCCAGATTTTGGCATGAGAAAGTTAAACTTATATTCAGAATGGATGCTAAGACAATATACAATTATATGAATTCACCACAATTAATTCACCGCATATTAATTTTGTTTTCATTTGAATTTCTGTGACCCCTAGCGTGAAAATGGTGTTTCTCCGTATGTTCATTGGCCATTTGCTTTTCTTGTTTGTGAACTGTGGTATACTCTTGCCTACTTTTCTCTTTGGTTTTTTTTACCTTTTCTTATTAATTTGTAGGATCTCTCTACACACCAGGAATATTAACCTCTAATCTTTCTTTTTTTTTTGAGACAGAGTCTCGCTCTGTCACCCAGGCTGGAGTGCAGTGGCGCGATCTCAGCTGACTGCAAGCTCTGCCTCCCGGGTTCACGCCATTCTGCCGCCTCAGCCTCCCGAGTAGCTGGGACCACAGGTGCCTGCCACCACGCCCAGCTAATTTTTTGTATTTTTAGTACAGACGAGGTTTCACCGTGTTAGCCAGGATGGTCTCAATCTCCTGACCTCGTGATCCACCTGCCTTGGCCTCCCAAAGTGCTGGGATTACAGGCGTGAGCCACCGCGCCCGGCCATTAACCACTAATCTTACAAAGCTTTTATCTCAGGCTAGGTGCAGTGGCTCACGCCTGTAATCCTACCACTTTGGGAGGACGAGCTGCGTGAATCACTTGAGTCCAGGAGTTCAAGACCAGCCTGGCCAACATAGCAAAACCCTGTCTCTACTAAAAATACAAAAACATCCAGTCAGGGTGGTGCACACCAGTAATCCCAGCAGTTTGAGAGACCAAAGCAGACGGATCGCTTGAGCCCAGGAGTTCCAGACCAGCCTGGCCAACATAGTGAAACCCTATCTCTACTAAAAATACAAAAAATTAGCCGAGCATGGTGGTGCACGCCTGTGATACCAGCTACTCAGGAGGCTGAGGTGGCAGGGTTGATTGAGCCCAGGAGTTCGAGGCTGCAGTGAGCCGTGATTGCACCACTGCACTCCAGTCTGGGTGATAGAGTGAGACCCTGTCTTTAGATAGAGATAGATAGATAGATAGATAGATAGATAGATAGATAGATAGATAGATAGATAGATAGATAGATAGATAGATGGATGGGTATCCACATAGATACCTCAAACCTATTATGTCCCAAATCGACCTCCAGTCTTTCCTATTGCATAAATGGTATCCCTGTCCTCCAACTGGGTGAGCCCAAAACTTAGAATTTATCCTGGATTCCTCCATTTCCTTTACCTCCCACTCACATAACCCAAAGGCACATCCCATGGGTCCCCTCGCATACAGCTCTCTTTCCTGACCACTTATCCCCCAGCTTCCCATATTCAATAAACCTTTTAACTCTACCCTGCCACAGGGCATAGAGCTGCAGCTAGCTCTTTCTACAAATGGTTTCACGGCCATCAGTCAAAACATACATCTTCTTTCACCTGGATCAATGCACTTATAAAAGCAAATGCTCAACAGCAATCTTTGA